TTTCGGAGGAAATCAAGACACTGATACCAACAGAAGGGTATGGGCCCTGGGACAGCGAAAGCCCCTGCACAGCAAAGGAAACCACCAGTCGGAATAATGGTTAACTCATTAACTGATTAATTAATTATTGGATAGACAACAGAAATATGTTACATTTCCTATGTAACATACAGAGGACAAGCACCCACGTACCCACTACCCAGCCTGAACCCGCATAAGTGCAGGTGTGTTTAGGGCTTGTAGCCGGCGGTGGTGGTGGGTCGCCAGGGTCTGAGCGTGCTCAGCTTTGCAGGAGGGTGTCATCCTATTTTCCAAAGTGACGGTAACCAAGTTGTGGTCCTTCAACTGTGACCTGAGTCCCTGTGGCTTCACAAGCTTTGTCAGCGTTTGCTGGTTTTGTGGAATTGTTTAGGTCTTGCCGATCAGACACGTTGTGTTTTTCTCTGATCACTGAGCTTTCCCCTCTTCCTGGGTTTTTACTGTTCTGAGAGGATCGTGGGCATAGTGTTTGCCCAGTTTTCTACCAGAAATTTATTTTCTTATTGACTTGATACTAACATGATTGCATGATTAATGAATGAATGAATGTGTGTGTGTGTGTGTGTGTGTGTGTGTGTGTGTATGCAATCTACCAGTTTCTGGCCAAACTCTTCAGTTTTTAAAATATTTTTATAAAAAGAGATATAGCTTAGTGTTATTAACATTATTAATGTTCCCTTAGAGTTTGAGCTTTTATGTCTTATTAAGGTACCCTCTACCCCAACATTATAAAAATATTCATTTACATTGTCTTCTAAAAGTCCTTACGTTTTCCTTTCCATGGTCATGTACAGCCCACCTGGAATTGATGAAATGCTGGTTGGGTTCCACTAAGTTTTCACACGGACCCAGTTCTTGCAGCACTGTTTCTCCAGAGGGCCCGCCCCACATTGACGTCCGTGTCCCTGTGGGGGGCTCTCTGTGTCTGTTCTGTTGACTGAGTCATCTAAGGTTTTGTTTCTGAAGCTGGATGATGACTCTCAATGTCTTACAAGGCAAGTCCCTGCCTTGTTCTTCTTCAGTAAATATCTTGGCTGTTATTACTCCTTTGCACCTTGATGTACATTTTAATTTTACCTTAATTTGTATTTTGTATTCAGTGTAGTGGGGGTAACACTGGTTAATAAACAGCACATACGTTTCAGGTGCATGGCTGTGTAACACATCATCTGTATTTTGCGGTGTATGCTCAGCACCCAAAGTTGAGTCCCCCACCATTGCCATTCTTTTGACCCCCTGACACCCAATTCAGAATTAGCCTGTAGAAATTGTGACTGGGACAGCAGTGAACCTGTAGATCACCATAGGTAGGACTGATGTTTCTGAGGTATTGAAGCTTGCATTCCATGAAGATGGTATTTCTCCCTTTCTACAGAGGTCTTACTTTTATGTCTGTTAGTAAAGTTTTCTGATCTTTATAAAGATTCTGCTCACTTTTGTTAGATTTATTTCACTTTGTATTTCGGAAAGTATTACAAAGCCTACCTCTTTTAAGTAAATATCTTTATTGTGGTACAATCCACAAACCAACAAAATCCACTTATTTAAAGTGGATTTGTATATTCACAGAGTTGCGCAACCATTACCGAAATCTAAGTTTAGAAAGTTTTTACCACCCTTGAAGAAACACCTTCACCAACCAGCCGTCACTCCCCACCCCCTTCTCCAGCCAGCCCCTGGCAGGGAGGAGCGAGGGAGGGAGGGACGGAGCGAGTGCAGCGCACCTGGGCAGCGCACCTGTGCAGCGGGCTGCACATCTGCCATTGCCTGCCCAGCCTCTGCTGTTTTGTTTTATTGTGGTTCCGTTTTCCCCTCCTGCTCTGGTTACTGCTCTGGTTTCCACGCTGATCTCCCAGCCTCTTTTCTCCTCCTCTCCACTCTTCATCCTCCACACCCTGGCCACACCACTTTTTCCAAACACAACTGTGTTCCAACCACATCTGTCCCTGGAAGCCCTCGGTAGCTCCTTTGATATTCAGTGGCCACCAGTTTCTCTGGAGAAGTTCAAGTTGACTCAAGCACCTTAGAAACACACTTTTGGAATGCAGCTCGTTTGTGAGTCCAGGAGGCCTGCTCATTCCCTTGCATTTCCTTCTGAGCCCGCGTTATCTGGGGTTAACTGCAAGAAGAGGCTCATTAAGCCTTGAAACCAAGCTGCCTCCGTGACAAGCACTTTGTTTTGCTTGAGTGACTGCGATGACGGGCTTGGGTGTTTTAAGGGCAGCACTAATTGTGTCTCTTTAGACCGAACTTGGTCATCTGTTCCCAGCCCTGCGGAGCAGGGAGATGCCAGATTCCCTCTGCAGTCCATTTCTTCTGCGCACCTTCCCCGAGCGCCTAGTCCATTGCAGATGCTGCTCTCGGATTGGAAGTGAGATTCCGAAGTTGGCCCTCTCAGGGCTTGAAGCCTAGTGAAGGAAAGAAAACAAGAAACGAGAGACCCATTAAAGAGATAGCATCTGTCCAGAGTGGAGGAGGGAGTGGATTTCTAAAGCACTTACTCTTTTTTGTGACTTTCCGAGAACACTGGACCATGGAGTCGCCAAAATAAGAGAGGGAGGCGACCCAGTACTCACAGACACGGAGGTAGACACAACCACTCAAAAACCCATTTAGCAGAATCTGCAAAAGCCGAACTCGTGTGTGTTCCACACCCTAGTCGTTCCTCTCCTGGGGGCATGTAGCCTGCAGGAGATTGCACCCATATAAATTGTACTTCAAAACAAAAAAACTGCACACCTGCATAGAACCCTAGTTGAACCTTCTGTGCATGCTGCAGTATTTAGGAAGTAATAACATTTGCAGTTTACCTTGAAGTGTACCCAAGACAGAAGATGGACAGAGATCTGATCTTAAAAAAGGATGGTTATTTAGCATGTTAATTGTGGAATTTAGATCGTGAATGTGTGTGGGGGGGCTCACTGTGAAAACTTTTCGACTGTACTGTATGTTAAAAAAAAGTCCTTTTGAGAAATCTGCTGACAGTCTGATGGGAACTCCTTTGTAGGTGACACCCCTTATCTCTTGCTGCTTCTAGGATTCTCTCCTGTCATTTTAATCTTGGCTAATGTAATTATGATGTGCCTTGGTGTGTTCCTTCTTGGGTCCAACTTCTTTGGGACTCTCTGAGCTTCCTGGATTTCCTGGAAGTCTATTTCAGGGTGCTCACAGAACTAGTTGATTTTAGTCACAAATTAGAGGAATATATGAAGGCTAAACTAATTGAAATGAATGGTAATGCACAGGAAAACAATAGTGATGAAAAGGAAACTGGGACTCAAATCAAGGGAGCAGACCAGAAGGAAGGAAAAAATGACCAAACAGAAAAATATGAAGAAACAAGAATTCGAAAAAATGAGGACAGGCTTAGGAACCTCCAGGACATCTTTAAACGCTCCAACATCCGAATTATAGGGGTACCAGAAGGGGAAGAAGAACAGTTACGAGTGGAAACCTCTTTTGAACAAATAATAAAAGAGAACTTCCCCTTTTCATTTAGAATGGAAGGACAGATAAAGTGCTTCTCAGATAAGATCAAATTCAAGGATTTCATCATCACCAAGCCCTTATTATATGAAATGTTAAAGGGACTTACCTAAGAAAAAGAAGATAAAAAAGATGAACAGTGAGAGGACAGCAAACTCACAGTTATTAACAACCACACCTAAAACAAAAGCAAATTAAGAGGACAGCTAGATCAGGAGCAGAACCATAGAAATGAAGATCACATGGAGGGTTAGCAACAGGGGAGTGGGAGGAGGAGAAGGGGGGAGAAGGTACAGAAAATAAGTAGTATAGACAGTAGGTAGAAAATAGATAGGGGGAGGGCAAGAATAGTATGGGAAATATAGAATCCAAAGAACTTGAGACACGTGTTCATGAACTAAAGGGGGGGAATGGTGGGGAAGGGGTGTGCAGGGTGGAGGGGAATGGAGGAGGGGAAACAGAACAAATGTAAAGGCATAATCAATGAAATAAAACAATATTAAAAATAAAGTCCTGTGAAGCTTGGGGGTGGGCAGTGCATAGGTCCGTTTGTCAGCGAATGTGGACAGGAATGGTCATGGCAGGATAATGGCCTCAGGCTGGAGCCACGGCCACTGCTCCTCAGCAGTAAAATAGTCTGTTTGCTTCACCGCTGTGTTATATTCCATCGTTGGGCGAGTTCATGGTGTGGACCACCACGTGTCCGTCTGTCCTCCTCTTGGTGCACATTGGGTACCCTCCAGTCCTCTGCTGTCACAAACAGAGCTTGTAGAAGCATCCTGCCCATGTCTGCAGGTGCACAGGTGCAGGGTTTCTAGGACCTATGTCTAGGAGAGCAGGTGCCCAGCCCAATTGTAAAACATGCACTTCGTTTTTCTAGGCAAAACCTAGGGTCTCTCCAGAATGAGCTCAGCAATGTCTGTCAATCTGTGGTGCTCTCCTCCACCCCCATGGTCCTATCTGGTCTCAGTAAATGGCCTTGTGTGGGTCCTGTCTAGCCCTGCCCATGTCAGAGCCAACACCCAGAACAGATGCCACCGTGATGCCCTCTTACATGCTTCGTGCACATATGAGACGGCATGTTGCCTGCGTGTGAGCCAGTCCATGCTGTGTGTAAGATCCTTGCTGCTGGTGGGAGAGCACACGTGTTTTAGTCTGACTGCCATGCAGCTGTCTTTGTTTCCGATTCAAGGAAAAGGGATAAACAAGCTCAGTGGAGTGGGTGGCGCCCCAGCTAGATTCCTGGGCCGATCTCTTTACGCCTCTGCCAGGACCGTTCGGCCTTAAAATTGATAAGCCAGGTTCTGCTCTTTCTCCACAACCAAGAGCAGTGTGTCCCAAGATTGGATCCCTGGGTGGTTTTTCCTTCCACTCATGACCTGGTCCCTTGGCATGAAAACACCACCCACTAGAGCTGCCCAGCTGTGGAGTGGTTGCTTAGAAATGATCTTTACGCTGCCTCTTTCTAATTACAGGTTAGCCTGGGGAGGAAGATAAAGACATTTGCAACCAAGATGGTAATCACGAGCGGAAATGATGAGGACAGAGGAGGCCAAGAGAAGGAGAGTAAAGAGGAGAGTGTCTTGGCGATGCTGGGGATTATCGGAACCATCCTGAACCTAATCGTTATCATCTTTGTCTACATATACACCACTCTGTGAATGGCTCGGGATGGCCAAAAGCTGTGTGTCGGCCAGTCAGTGACCAGACATTGTGTGAACAAGCAGGCTCGACCTACACACACTGCTCAGTCCAATGCACCTTCGAACTTTATAAAAGATCACAAAACTAAACCGATCCTGCTGCAAGGAGCAGACACTAAAGCACAATGAATCCAACAAAACTCATTCACACACCAAGGAACTCAACGTCTTTGGCAGGGGCCCTGGAGGAGCACTCGGAAGACCAGCCTTTGACGCCGTCAGTGAGCAGATGGGTACAGAAATTCATCACCCCGGATCGCTGACAGATAATCACGAGTTCGAAAAGAGGAGCAGGGCGGACTAACGCGGCTCATTGGCGTGTCTCCCAGGACACGCATTTCATCTTCACAAGACGAGTGTTGAGTATGAGAGACCCCAGGGGCCGTGGGCAGGCATCCCGTCCATCCAAAGTGTCTATTTGATACAGGGGAAGATGACATATTTTTCTTTTTTTTTTCCATTGGCTTGACATGTGTGTCTGTTCATATCAAGGTTTATAAATATATATTTTTAATAAATGTGCTCTATTTTTTAGCATGAACCAAACACTTGGAGAGGCGCTCCTGGAGGCCTCGGGCTTTCTCCAGTTTTATCTGCTTTGCCCCCTACAGTGTAGATGTTCTGTTGTGTAGTCATTCTCGTCCTGTTTCTGCGACCTGGAACCTTTGACCTTCTCTCTCTGTCTCTGTTTGGTCTGGAGGACATTTTCCCATAATGCCAGCCCTGGTGTCTTGGTTGGTGCATGTCGTAAGACTGTCTGTGGAGCAGCGTCTTGTTGTTCTCTCGGGGATGTAAAGTGACTGTGGGCATGCGAGCACAGGTGCACTGTATCCTCAATGAGAATTTTGCACGAACAGGCTGAGTGACGGGTCAGCTTGAACGGTCGCTGAGGAGGAGCGCAGCCGCACCTGGGGGTCAGCGTGTGAACGGCATTCCCATTTCATTCTCGTGACCACGCATAGATCCGACTTTGATTTTAATGGCCACGTACCATCAGAGATGGACAGGATGAGAGAAAAGCTCAGTGTTAGGTGCACAGCCCCTTCCTTGGCCAGCCACCTGGGATCCTTTTCAGAGTAGGTGGGTGTCAGTGACATGTGGACTTCCCACTGGGAAAGCTCACCTTGGCTGTGAGGACACCCCCGGGACGGGTGACTTTTCAAGGGCACGAGAGGGGACATAAGAACTGCCCTAAAGGATTGCTGCGCTTCTTAAAGCCCCTGGTTTGCACCCACGTGCAGTCCCTTGCCCTTTGGCAGGCACGGCTACCTACATACGAACTGACCCTGTTCTCCTGGCTCCTGCCTGGCTTCAGCGGCGTGGCCTTAAAAAGAGGGTCAGAGTTCCTGCGGCCGGTGCCAGACCTGCCCATGGGCAAAAGCGGCAGCACCCTGCCTAGTCGGATTCGAGGGATACCTGGCGGTCTCTGCCACCAGGCCCGGCCCTACCCAAGTGTGGTGCCTGAAACTCTACTATTTGAGAGTCATTTCTTGGGCTCCTTTAAGGGACTAGGCTGTTTTGTAAAGCAAACACCCCCGAGCACCTGGCTCTGACAGCCGTTCATCAGGTGTCTTCCCCACCAGGAGGAAGGGAGCTGACGTTTAATTTAGGGTGCGCTGTGTGCCAGGCACTTTATATTCCTTAAGTCATTGAATTCCCGCAGTGACCCGTGAGAGGGAGTCATGTCCCAGATTGTAGAAGAAGGGGGGGCTCAGAGAGCCCCCCAGGGATCGCAGGGCTCCTGGTAGGGAGTCAGGACTCCAACCTCAGTCAGCCCGATTCCTGGGCCCAGGAGGGCCTCCTGGAGGCTGCTGGGAGGAGAGGAGGTAGACACGTGGGACCGTCACAGAAAAGGGCCCCCCGATGGCTCCGCCGAAGGCCAGCTCTGCACGCCTCTCTTCTCCTCTCCCCATAAAAACAAAGAACCCCTGGGAACCCCTTAGACACTGGCAGAATATCATACAAGTAAGGGTGAGGAACAAGAGGAGGCTGGTTAGAAATAAAACGGAATGTCGGGGGAAGGGCTACCCAACAGGTTCTGTGTGATTCCGTGACTGTATGAAAATTCTGAACAGTGAACTGAGCAGACAATAAAGGTGCAATGGAAAAATAGTGTTGGTGTCCTTCTTTTAACCATGGGGTATTTTAAACTTCCGTCTCATTCCTTTGTCTATATATATATATATATATATATATATATATATATATATATTAAAGATTTTATTTATTTATCTTTAGAGGGGAAGGGAAGGAGAGAGGGAGAGAAATATCAATGTGTGGTTGCCTCTCATGCGTCCCCTGCTGGGAACTGGCCTGCAACCCAGGCATGTGCCCTGACTGGGAATTGAATCACAATCCTCTGGTTCGCAGGCCCCAGCTTGATCCACTGAGCTACACCAGCCAGGGCTGTCTATATATATATATTTTTTTTTTAATTTTTGTAAAAGAATGTGACTCAATTTAACTGAGACTATTTTATTTAGACTGTAGCAACCCCAGTGATTTCTCAAATACTAATTTGAAATTTATTGAGGGGAAAAACTGTTTTTGCCGCGCTCCGAATGGCTCCCCGGTCCTCCTGGATTGTCCATATCCGAGGGCTGGAGACGACGCGGCCCGTTTGGTGGCCTCCCTCTGTCCTGTGGCTCCGGCACGACTCCTGCGCCCATGCTCACTTAGCGTGCTCTGGGCACACTCAGGGTCTGGGGGTGTCTTGGGGGAAGGGGAAGGGAGAGGCTGCGGGGGGCCCTGGGTCCCGGGAGTCCAAGTGTGCTGGGCCCACTTCGGCAACAGCAGCGGGAACCAGAGCGACACCAGGCCTATATATTGGACCAGCATTTCCCGCACAGCCGGTGGGATCATTACAACAACTTGTGAGACCTGTACCCCTCTCACCACTTTACAGTACGAGGGAAAAAGCTCCAGAAGGCTAACTGGCTTTCCCAAGTCCTCGGAGCTGGACACCAGCCCAGTATGGCCCCTGGCCGCGTGTCCATGTGCCGTCAGCGCCTTGCGTGGCCCAGACTGTGGGTATGAGCCCCGCTGCAGCCGTGTGGCGAGCTCGGTCTCACAGCACACACAGCACACAGCTTCCCACGACCCCTGCCTCTCCTTGATTATAGCACGGCCGGCCCAGGAGCACGGCTGAGCGGGCGCATCTCACCTCCGCCCTGGGAAATCGACTCAGCACGCTGGGCCTGGCAGCAGAGCGCCGGCGTGCCAGGGCAGTGTGGTCCGCTGGTTTGGGGCTGCAGGCTGCTGGTCAAGGACCAGAAAACGCCTGGTCCCAAATCCAGTTTCTGTGTCTCACACTCTGGGTGACCGACCACAGGGCAAGTCACACCAACTCTGAGAACCTGACCTTCCTGCACCCGTAACAGCAGGCCACTGTGAATGCTCTTAACTCACCTCAGGTGGGCACTTTACTCTCTTTCCTGAGGCGGAAAGTAAATTAGCAAAGGCTCCATGGCCATGAAGTCTTGCAGGGGAGTGTCGGGCCCAGGTGCTACTGCCTGTACCTTGGTGGCCCGAGAATGACATATAAGCCCCCCAGTAAAGAGCCCCAGGGGTCTGGGGTTCAGTGGAGGGGTCAGGGTCCTCGAAGACTCAAGTGCAATGGGAGGGACGCAGACCCTACAAAGGCGAAGGAGAGGTTGGGGTCCCACCGATGCTACAGGGTAGGGTAGGGACAGCTCAGAGACCCTTCTCCTAATATTTTTGTTTCATTTTCTTAACCAGTCAGCCAACTGAGACACCCAGCTCCAGCCCCCAAGTCTCACCGAGTGCAGATGCCTCCAGGGATGTCTGGGGAAAGGAGCCGGTGGAGATTTCTTTAAGGGCTGGTGGTCACTGGGGCTGGACCCCCAGGCCCCTCCCACTGTGTGTTTCTGTGCCTTCTATGCAAAGCAAATAGCTTCTGAAAGCATCCTTCTTAGCCCCTGCCTTACCCTCAGGAATGGGGGACCCTAACCCCACAGATCACGGCTTTGGGGAGTCCTTTGTCACAGGCAGGGCCAGGCAGAGGTTTGGGGATTTTCTTGTCAATAACAGAAGGGGCCCCATTGACCCAGCAACTGAGTCCTGACTTCTCATTGTCTTTTCATAAATCACATGCACACAGTCACAGTGGCAAAAGAGTTACAATCTTCTAAAATTTTTATATACTTTTTAATGTTTTGATTTAATCTTTATTGTATTTTCCCCATTACCATGTAACCACCCTACATCCCCTCCACACTGTCTACCAGCCCTCACCACACTGTATACAGTGTAAATTAACCTAGATGGTCCCCAACAGCTCCCAGAAGCCACCACTGTTAATTTTTGGTGTGAAGTGTGTACACCAGGTGGCCCATCTGTCTATCTGGTGGGATCGTTTTCTTGAAATTTTAAATTTCTGTTGCCTTCAGGCAGGGCACACTCTGTAGGTCACTGTCCCCACATTCTTGGTGACCACCCTCCCTCGACGGGACGTTCAGTCGTTTCCCCACAGACTGCAGGAGGAATATTATAATTTACACATTATGGTATCCATCCTAATATCCATGCTATGAACAGGCATTTTTTTCATTAACAGTCATGACTATGCTTCCATATCAATGAACCTGTGTTGGCAAAACACACATAATGGCTGTTCCGTGTTCTGCACTCGGTACTGCGTCTCATCAGGCCTTTGCCCAGCCCTTACTGTTGGACCTTTAGGTCTTTGTCAACATTGGCTGTGAACAGCTGGTCCTTGCTCTTAAAACATCCCAGGAATTGTTCTTTGCTGCCCCCCGACCCCTTAAAGTGCTCTCAGGTGGTGTCCTTTACAACAAGTTTGAGGACAGCGTCTAGTTAACCCACTATCTCCCACCCATGCTGACGGTGGGAATCTCCTGGATGCTTATTTAAAATACACTTTTCCAGGTGTCTCCCCATATCCCTGGGTGGTGGCTCTGAGGGGAGGGAGGGTCGGGCAGATCTGGAAAGGCTGATCCAGCTGGAGCCTGATCCCCAGACCCCGGGACTCTGGTGGCTGCAATGGTCTTAGAAAGACCATTCACTTCTTTCACCTGGATTTCCTCATTTGTAAAAACCTAACAGTAACACCTGGGGCCAGGTCAGCATGAGCATCACATGGGACAAAGCAGGCACGGCCCCGGCAGAATGCCTGGGGGGTGGGGGAGGGGCTATCTGTGAGGACCCCCATCCCATTTCCCCTCTCCCCCTCCCTCCGTTCTTCTCTTCTCTCTCCTCTAAGCACCAGGGCCTCAGCTCCCTCTCCTTTGAATGTTTTGACTATTCATGCTTAGTCCTAGGGCACCTTTGTCCCATCAACTGCCTGCAGAACATCAGGAAGCTGACCCGTCCCCTCTTGTCATTATTCTTATACAGAAATGATTTCATTGTCACTTTAGTACTTTCCTAAAAGCTACCTCAGAGCCCAGACTGGCTATGATAATGCCGCATGTTGGGAAGAGAAAGTTCCAGAAGCCAAATTCAGGACTCCTGTCCTGAGAGAGCTCTCCTAGAAGACCCTGTGGTCGCCGCCTTCCTAGAGGCAGGACCTCTGTTGTGTGGGACACCCCAGGAGGATCCTCCCGAGGGCTGGAGGACCCTCTGACATCACTGTGTGATGACTGTCCCCTCTCAAGGGAAGCAGATGGAAGGGACAGACTATGAATATTTTCTGTGCTGTGTAAACAAGTCACACAGAACCATGTGTGCTTTATGCAGAAGAAAGGCCACATACGGCCATGACAAATAAGGTCACATAACGTGTAAATTTTCTCTGACGAGACTCTATAACAGGCATGCTTGTGTGTTCTCTCTATTTCTGAAAGAGGATGACAGGGAAACATTTGTAGAAAAAGGTAAGAGTCATGATTGGACGTCTCCACAGTGAGGTATAAAGGGTCAGCACACCTCACCTTCTGACCTGGGAAGTGGCCAGGTCCATCGAGGCTTGTCTGCAAACCCTGGGCACCCGAGCCAGGCACTGTGGAAATATAACAGGGAGTGTATCAGGGACCCTCCTCCTCCCCAGCCCCATCAATGGACAAGGATGCAGAAAATTACATTGTAAAACACTCAGAAATGCAAAGATGAGGAAAGTCAAGGGGGACATGGGGCTCCAGAGAGCACTGAGCCCAGATTCAGGAGCTGTCTGACTTCTGACCCCAAGGAGGAATAGGATTGTCCAGGCAGAGGGTGTCGGTGACTGGGGGAAAAGTACTCCCTTAGAGGGAGCGGGCTGTCAGAAAGCCAAGAAGTGAGAGAGGATGGCACAGACAGGGCGGTAAAAGGAGTTGAGTGTGGCTCCTGGAGCACCTCCTCGGTGCCCAGGTCGGTCTCTGGTACACAGCAGGAACTCTGCAATCAGCGAGGGGACAAAAGTCACAGTCTCAGTTCAGCCGCACATGCTCAGGGAGGACAGTCCTCTCCACCTGGAGCACCCTGTCTCCCCACAGGTTCAGTGGGTCCTGTTGTTCACCTCAGACAAACAGCTCCCTGTGTCCCTTGGGGACCCATCTTCCTTCCTGTCCATCACCCACCCTGTCTTTACCACAAGGCCAGAAACAAAGAGCAAGGTCTGTAAGCTGCAGGGAGCAGCGGAAGGAGGGTGGCAAGAGCATGGAGGCCAAGCCTTTGGAAAAAAGCATTCAGAGGCAAGGCATTCATTCATTCATCCACTCGCTCATTTGCTCCTTCAACAAATACTTGTTGAGTGCTTGCTGGATGCTGAAACCTGGCCAGAGCTATACTAGGAACCAGTATAGACACTGGCCCACTCTCATATAGGGCCACATCCATGAGGATAAGCCCTGGCGAGTGCCCAGATGTGGGTGGCAGAACAGTACAAACCCCTATTTGCCTGGACAGCTAAGGGCTTCCTGTGGAAGTGGCTCTTGATTGGGGGCCAGGGTGAAACCTACAACTGGCTTCCCAGGGAAATTTGAAGCATTGTGATCTAGTGTAAGAAGCAGGGGATTTGAGGCTAAGAGACCCCATTTAACCCTGGCTTCCTTTCTTACTAGCTGTGTGACCAAGAATAGGTTGCTTCACCTCTGAAATTCAGTCTTTCTTATGAGGAAAATGGGAATAACACTTA